GCATCTCTCCCAGGGCCTGCTTCTTCCACCCTCAACGTGAGCAAGCAGGATCAAGCCCTTTTTTGGTTGGGTTGATCCTTAAATTAAAATAAGCCTCCCAAAAAGAAAAACAGCAGCAAACCCCACTGAGTTTGCGCAACACAAGAAATGCTTATTAGACATGCTTATTCCATCAAATTTAGGGCTACTGATTTGGTATTTACCTTTTATCTCCCTGTTGCAGTGCAAGCGGTTTCCTTTAAAAAACAGTTAAAACAAGCAAAACCCATCATGTCTTTTCTGTCTGCGTACTTTTCAGAAGACAGAGAAGAAAACCTGCAGGCCAGGTACACATTGCTTAAAATTTTAATAAGGTGTGGAAATGAAGTGAAATTTTCCACTAAACTACACCTGCTCAAAAGGCATATTCTATCATTTCCAGCTTGCCTTGAATTAGATCATCCTCCCCATACTCACAGGCTACAACACAGAGCTACGATATTCAGAAAATATTTGCAAGAATCCTCTTCTGCAGATTAGAGAATCACTGGATTCAGCACGAAATGGTGAGGTGGTATAAGTTACACAAGTGCATTTAATTTACCTTCTTAGGCTAATAAACACAAATCTAACCTGGTATATACAAGGCAGAAGGAGAACTTAGAAGGTACAGACCAACTTTATGCCTTTCAAATATGCATCAGACTATAGTGCATCACCCCTTGCTTAGCACAACTAAACTGAATATTCAGATTTTTTTAATCATTCTGTAGACTGAGCCTATTCAACCACCAAATGCTCTGCATTTTTTTTTTTGGTGCATTAAGGTTTTTTTTTTTATCTTCACTGGCCTACTTCAATTTGCTGATGCTTTTCTAGCAGTGAGGTGCCTGCAGTGGGATAGTATAACTACCTCTAGGTAACTTTAGGAACAGGAATATTAAGCCATGTAGAGGACTTGCTGGCTACGAGCTTCCTGAACTAACACCAAAAAACCTACATTAAAATCAAGCCATAGTTGAGAATAGCCATTTCACTGCCTCATTTGCACAGTTTACATATTATCTTGTAGCACTGAGCACTGGTTAGAAGATTTCCAAATTGCAGGACAATCCTTAGGAAGTGATGCATCCAAATTCTAGCATAAGCAGAATGTAATTTTAAAAATACCCTCATGTTGAAAGTACTCAACTCACTATTTCTAAATTCTACTCGATGTAGTAGTCTACATGCTACACTGAGCATATTTCCACTCTTTCTCATTTCATGCAGGGAGGTCAAACAAGATGCATTTTAATGAAGCGGGTCCAACTAGTTGTTCAGAAACAGATCCCAACTCTTCCCGTCTTCGACATTATTCCGTCTGACCCAACCTTAATGCTCAAAATAAGACGCGACAGCAGGGCCTATCCAGCAGCAGCAAAGGTCACGTGTTTGCAAGTGTAGCCCATCACAAATGCTTTAGATACTTAATGCTCCGAGCAATGTAAACCTGAAACCTGCAGCTAGTAGGCTAAGATGGTCATCTGATCTACCAGCACTACCTGCCTGGTTGATTTGGGTTGCAAACATTGTCTGGGGCCGAGCAGCTAATCTCTGCCTGCCTCAGGCTCCTAAGACCTTTAATATTTACACTTTTGCAAGCAGAAATATAGTATAGGTATGCTTTTAACTGTGCCGATTTTTGTGAATTTGACAGGTAGGATGCTTGTGTCAGGAAGAGTACCGCCAAGAGGATGCAAAGAGCCTCTTTCTCATATGCTTATCAATGTGTTTATTACTCATCTGTAGCAACCTTTGCATGTAGGCCTTCCAGCTAATATTTGATGGCATAAGCAATAGAGGAGCCAAAACAAACTAATAATCTCACTTCCATACATAACTTCAATTCTCTCATTCCAGTTCAGGTCCCGGAGTTCATCATCATTATTACTTGAGTCCACTCAGTCCCCAAGTGAAGGCTAACCCACGTATATTTTAAGAGATGCTCCTTGATAGATGGGCTTACAATCATAAGACGTGTCAAGTATGGGAGGCAGAAAGAGACACTACTCCCACATTACATATGAGCAACTATAGCAGAAAGATAGTAAGAAATTTGTTCCTGGATAAACAGCTGAGATATTAATGCAAGCGCTTTACCCCTCAATACTACCTTTCCAAAAAGGGTGCATGCAGTGTTCCTAAAACCGTGCACTCAGCGCTTCACAGCTAATTTGGAATGTCACCAGTCCACATAACCAGCTTAATCACAACAAATTCTCATGGATTATCCATGGGCTCCCACTCAGAAAGAAAGGGGCGGAAAAAAAAAAAAAAAAAAGAAAGGAAGAATGCAGTTAATTGGACTTTATTCTTTGAGTTTTCAAATGACGACTCTAAAGGAGGAAAAAAAAACAAAGTGTTTTTCTCTTACAAGATTTCAGTGTGAAGCCGTGTGCTAAGCTACAGTGATACACTAAAATAAACAACAATATTGCTTTCAGAGTCCCGAGAAATTAGCATGACCAATAATATTTTTGGAAGACTTTTCTGAGCCGTAAGATTTCCATGCAGCTAGCTTTAAGTCTCCAAGTTTTGGTAGGTCCACGAGGGCAATGCTACACTGCACTTGTGTTCCAGGGATGGGCTGTTAGAAGCATTTCGTTCGCAATAGCTGCAGCCTGAGGAGTCTCTTTCTGCCGTGGCCTTTGTCTCTTGCATTTGCGTAAAGCCCTACTGGGGCCCGCTTCAGATTCCTATCTGACAGTCAGTCCGTAATGTAAGAATGAACATACAGCAGACTAATTGGAAACACAGAGCAAATGTTACAGGTTAGCTAGCTAGTGGGACTTTTGCCTTCTTTTTTTACTTATTTTTTTTTTTATTTTTTTCACCTCCTCTTTTTTTTTTTTAATGATTTCCCACCCCCTCATCACTCATTTGCTCCCTGGAGATCACCAATGGCAGCTGCAGGGGTTGGTAGGAGGAAGGCAGAATAAGATTTCCAGAGGCCGTTAAACAACTGGAATTATCAGGTAACTTGATGCCCTTGTCTAGGTTTTAATCAGATTGTGCAATCACCCCTTGTAAGCTGAAATGGATTCTGCAACATCAAGCGGTTCAACCTGTGGCTAACTGCACAGGAGTTCACATCAGTAGATTTCTCCTCATCCCCTACTCCTGCAAAAGAAATGCCATGCAGAAAGAACCACTTAGGAATCCTCTAATTTGCAAAGAAGTAGGAATGTACAGAAATGTTCTCCTTGATTCTGGCTAAGACTCCCCTCTGCAGCACATAAGACACAAAGTTTTAACAAGTTAAAACTAAAATTAGACACATTTATCTCATTACGTGGCTGTTCCCTAGCATTCGTCCTACACACAAAGCTGTGAGGGTCAGTCTGGGCTATTTTCCCAGTCCTTGACCAAAACTTGGAGACTCTCACATTTGGACACTGTTTTTTCTTGCTCAGCATACCACACCTCAGCCTCTCTCCTCTTCTCCTCTATCTGCTCCAGTCTCTTTCCTTATGAGCCACAAATAAACCATCCCTAGACTCCCTTCCCTATCAGCCAAAAAACCAAACCACTCCCAGACTCCCTTCCCATCTTCTTTCTACAAGCCTTGTCTCCCATTTTGCACCTCACCAATAAGCTTCACCTATTATTTCCAAAAAGCCCTCTTAGGCCTTTATTTTGCAGACCTCAAGATCCCTAAATGCTGCGACCTCCAGATTCCATGAGGCCCAGCAGTAAACATATGCCTTGCATGTATGAATTTTGAGTTGGACAGCAATCACCAACAGGCAAAGCAATAGGTACAGCAGCTATAAGAAAGAGTATCTATGGAGGAAGCCCATGCATTTGGAGGCACAGACACTCTGAAAGGCAAAATAATGCCAAGGCAAGCTAAGGAGAAGGGTCCTCTGGCTTTAGCACCATAGGTGCTTCATGGCAGCCTCTTCCTACTCTTAGTCTATGGTCCTGGTTAATGTTCAAATTAGACAAACGGAGATTACCGTGAGAACTAAGCCAAATAACAGTGTTCAATAACAGGGGAACTCCTACAGCAGGGGACATATTAGACAAGAATTTCCAAGAGCTGCAGAAATGGGAGAGGTAAAACAGAGGCGCAAAAGAGAAGGTTGTGAAGGGGAGGCATCGGGCAGGGTGTTGGAGGGCTGCAGGGAGCACTATGCTCCCATAGGAAGCCCCATGTTACTCATGTATTTTAGTTCTCAGAAGCAACCAGAACTTTGGATCTTATTTGAAAAGTTAAAATTTCATGCATTACCTATTGCTGGCCTCTGTAGTGCCTTAAGCGCTTTTACAACTCCTTGAAAATTTTAACAGCTCTTTAGGATCCCTCAAAACACTCACAATCTTTGGGCACAGGAGTACACTTAAGCCCATACAAAGCGGCCTGTATAACTCAATCAAAAATTTCAAAATGCTGAGACTAAAAGAGTACTAATTGGAAATGGGATACGTTATCTACTAGGTATTACAAGTTAAAGTTTCTCCCTTCAACATGAATACTTTATGAGAAAAACAGAAACACGATAAAGCCGTTAACGATGACAAAGAAATCCTGGGGCCCATCGTGTTGCAGAAGAAAGAGAAAAACTTGTGTCTGTGTGTGTGTGAAGTAAATGCCCCTTCGTAATCCACATTTCCCTGTAATGTATTTGAGCAAGTCTGCAATCCTCACTTCAAAGATGATATTTTCCCAAGCCTCTCCCTCAAGAGGTGTGTGGTTTGTGTTATAGTTTATTTAAAAGCTGAGACTTGGAATCAAACCCTGGCAAACACAGTTACACACTTTTGGAAATTTAATGCTGGTTTTTTGTTGGTTTGGGGTTTTTATTTTTGTCAACTGTTTCAATAGTTTAAAAAGCATGTTACAACTTACAGTGCCACCTAGTTTCTAACCAAAAGGTTACTACCAGGTGGTAGAGCTCAATCTGCTTTCACACAGCATCCTTTTAACATTTCAAGGAACCAAAAGGGGAGGAAAGGTTCAGTGTGCTCACACTCACCCTTTTGTTGTTCTCTTCTTCTTGTGCCTTCCTAAACTCGTGCTCTAGGGAGCAATCGATGTCGTTGAAGAGGCCCACTTCCTCGCAGTTCTTCAGAAAGCGTGTTGGCGTAGGAGTCTGATCTGAGAATATGACAAGAAATGATCATTGGCATTTAATATTAAAAGGAGAGGGAGACAATTAAGTAGTCTTCCAGGAAAATAGAGGTTCTAGCTAACCTCTCCATGCCTTCCACCCCTACCACATCATTATTAAAACCAAACCACACAGCACTGAATTTCGACACTATGCACTGCAGGCACCCCATCCGAAAACAGGCAGCACCCATCATTCAACCAGAAAGACAACAGGCCAGGTTTTCACAGGGCAGGTAACACAAGTGCATATCCTTAACATGCGCAAATGGCCATTATAACTGTGTCTACACCCCCAATAATAGGTGCATACAAACCAATTTACAGTGCATAAGGTAATGCACATTTACACCAGGTAACTGCTGCAGATGCACGCTAGTTAATGCCTTCAACTGCTTGAAAACCATCTCAAATGTACGCATACTTTGCAACACACATGAAGTTAGCCACGGCAAAAAAGTTCTACTTCCAACACAATTTTTGAAGAAGGAGCAAAAAGACAGTAAGAAAAGCTGTGAAATGTTAAACTTTGACCACAAAGAAGCATCCTTATGGTTTTTATACCTAAAAGTGTTGATAATGCATATAAACCACAGGATTTGGAGTCAAAGGATTTTTAATGCATGCCTTCATCTCTACTCCACCTCCGCTTCCCCATCCCCCCAAAATTACAGTACAGAACTGTATTAACAAAATCAGGGGAGGATCCATATGGTCCTATTAGCTTACACACATTTTTTTAAAACAATAAATTGAATCCTCTCTTGCACATTAGTTTCTTCTTCCCAAGACCCCATCCTGGCTCAAGCTGTTTTATAGTACCTAATTTTATGGAAAGTTTGGACTCACTCTCTTCAAAAGTCAGCTTCTGCAGAGTCATTGACAACTATCCTGTTGCTTGAAATTCATTCTTTAAAGAATGAAAACTCTGTCATGCTAATCCCAGTTGTCCCTATTGGGCCAATTCTGAACCTCAGAAAAAAAGCTTCCCACTTCAGTGAGTTCTGGAAGAAAAATTTGGTTTCTTGCACCGAGCTAAGCTGGGTCAAGTTCTAATATTTCCCCCTTACAGGGAACAGTTACCAGATACAATGACCGTACACGCTTAGCACAGAAACACACAGCCACCCCTGAACAAAAGGCAGCAGCAAAGGAATGCATACAAAAGCAAATGCAGTTCCCACTCAGAAACTAAGGGAGAAGACCAGCCGCTTCCATTATAAAACCAACTGAGGCCAATTACCACCTGTATCAGGTGTGGTCCTACAGGCTTTACCTTCTCAAGTAATTTAATGGCAAACACACTCACTTGCATTTGTATTTCTGATGGAACATATTGATGTAACATAAAAAGCAAGTCTTTAATGATAAAATGCTGCTTTATTTCTTTCAGCTTGAGCATCATACTTGTAAGCTTAAAGGAAACAGAAAAGTGTTTGGGAATGCATAGATATTTATCTATTAGCTTTTACAGCTAACTGCTGCATTACCAGAGTCAGAAACATAGGACTGTCCAAGAATTTTGCAAGAACTCAACACAAGGAGCTGAGTCAACGAGGTGCTGACATTGATGGGAACCGAGGACACTCAGCACTTTACAGGTCCACGTCCTAAATAAGCAGTGCCAAGCCAATCTCTAGGGTAACCTCACTGAACTCAGTAGTTTTACACCAGAGCTGTCTTTGGCCCTTGGACTGGAATTTGTACCAGAAATGAAGTGCTCTAAAAAGCAGGAGAAATGGATTTTATTTCCAAAAAGGATTAAATATTACTTTAGTGAACAACACTATTGCTTGTAGAAAAACCAAGATAATTGTTGCCAAGCCTTCCTGGGCATAAAGGGCATGTTAGTATTTGAACATGAGGTAAATACAGGAAATATTTTCTTTTCAGAAGTGGTATATCCATATCAAATAAGCAAGTTATCAGTTTCATGACCAAGATGAGAAACTAGGGTTTCATAAAGAAGTTGATGGCACCACTTTCACTAAAATCAAAAATCCTGGGGTTTTTTTAGTTACTTGAGCCCAGAATTTGGGGGGTAGGGCAGAAGAGAATACACTAACACAGATAAAATCTTGTTATTTTTCATTCAAGGTACACAGCTGATCCAGAAATTAGGCATTACTACAACAGGCTAGATTAGGTCAGAGGCAACTTAATGGGTAACAAGGCGGTGATCAGGCATGGGCAGCTGAAGTTCCTGATCTGTTCAGCATCTATTCCATGAATGTTAGACACACCAAAAAAAAAAAAAAAACCAAACGAAAAAACCCACATTTCTCAGTGAAGTAAATCCATTTTAACAGTGAAAACAGGCAACCCAAAGCAAGAATGCGACTTCAAATGCACAAAGGCCTCATCGGCTTTCCTCTGCACATGCTGAAAGTGTATCTTCTACACCGCAAGCAGTCTGAGATAATCATGTGTTGTGTTGCCTACAGCTGATCTTTCCAATTAACTACTTTATTATCTTAAGCATCAAAGCTGATAGATTAATGACACCATTTACACCACCTACCTATTGACACACTGATCTTAAATTACTACCTCAGTCTCCCCATATGGTTACTGCAGTTTCTACAATCCAGAAATTGGACTGGCAAGAATGCAGAACAAGACTTTGTTAAAACAGACAGCCCCCCTCTCCTCCCAGTCAGGGCAAGGGGAGCAGGGAACACCACCAACCACCCAGCCTAAACTCTACCCACAGACCTTCTGGAAGCCAGTTCAGCCAGATGTAAACCAAGAGCTGCCTTTCTACCTTATAATACTTCATCCTTCAACATTAGTAGAAACCACAAGTCCACAAAACCACTGTGTTTGTATGAGAGCAGAAGGGATAAAGATCCAGACTGTAAAACGTTGAGACTTTACATAGTACAGTACTTAGATTGCACATACACTACTGGTTTCAGGACTTCAGGGCTACCAAGTCCAGTGGGTTGTCTTTGCTGCTGAGGCAACCAACTATTTTGCCCCTGCAAAACACCAGTTCTCCCTCAGGAGGTGGGCAAACTAGTAGAAAAAATTACTCTCGACACCACAGTAATCCTTTTACCTAAATTAGGCAAGCCCTTGTGTTTTAATTGGGAACGATATCACAAAGGAGTCCCTAGCATAAGTTATGCATTCAGGTCTCCCAGAATTAATAAAATATTCCTAATTCTCAGCACTTAAAAATGCATTAATAGTTCCAACAGCTTGTGCCTGACCTCACTGTTCCCTGTTGGTACAAACAAACCTTTTGTTGCTATCACCAGCACTCAGAACTATTGCAGGCTCACTGAGAACAGGGCTCTGATTTGTTGTACTTCAGCAACTGGATGTGCCAGACCCATCTGGACCAGAACTCAGACAGAGCAATTAAAAAAAAAAGCTGAGGACATGCGTTACTGTAGGAAGCCGTCAGCATGCATGCTGTTAGCCACACAACCCAGGACTTTAATGGCCCAAGCTGCATTTTGAACTGGGTGGCTTGGGATACAGGTTGGTCTGGGTTAGACCCTAGGTCTCTGGCTTTTATACTGACCAGCATCCCAACCCAGTCCTATCATTCAGCATGTAAAATCTTTCCATCCCCAACTGCTACCAGAACTAGTTTACTATGCTTTGAGGCATCTACCTATAGCCAACTGTCACTTCACAGGTGAATCTGTGTCATCTGAGAATTACTTAGGAAGTTATTCCTATCTCGCCTTCACCACCAGGTTGAACACAGAACCTGTCAAGCTTCAAACAAATCCCCATCCCTTGAGGTATGTAAAAGGTGTGTAGATGAGGTGCTTAGTGACATGGTTTAGTGGTGGGATGGCAGGGTTGGGTTAACAGTTGGACTTAATGATCTTAAAGGTCTTTTCCAACCTAAAGGATTCTATGATTCTATTATTCTATTAAATTGGGCAATAAATATTTCCTTCAGCCTATTACTCAGGTGCATAATCAGCCTCTCTGATGGTGCAGTCATGGCCAGAAAGGCTGCAAGAAACAGTAAGTTTAAATAAACCTCAAAAATGTAAGTGGACAACCTAAAAGCCCCAGAGCAAGATCAAATGGTCTCACCTGTGCAGATCCCAAGACAACGTACTGTTTCTGACATGAGAGGATTTCAGAAGCACTCAGCAATCAGCTTGTGACCAGAACCTGATATACTAAAATATATTTTTGCTGCTGACCATTTTGAAAACCTGTCCTTAGTGTCTTAGGTGATGCCTGATTCTCCAGACTAATTGAAAAACATAAGCTATAAGGCAATGGGAAATTTGAAGTCTTCAGTAAAGAGATTCCATTATGTATTCATGATGTTTGGCTATGCAAATTTTGTTGTTGTTGTTTGGTTTGGGGTGGGGGTTTTTTGTAATTACTACAATAATAGTCTCAGAAAGGACACTCAGTCTCAATATATTGCTTTCAAAACAACAGCCCAGGGAATGCCACATTAACTTGCTATATAGAGAGTTTATTTGAATGCATTTTGTAAAACTACCTTAGATCCTAGAGTTTCATCCCTCAAAGCGTGAATGGAAAACTTTAAAGCATGATGCCAGTTAAGAAAAAACTGAAGAACCAAAGGACAGTTATGTGAAAAAAGCTTTCATTTTAGAAAAAAAAAAAAAAAAAGCAGCTTCAGTAAGAGATATCTAACAGCACAGCTCCAAAGTGTGTAACCTGATTCTTCATCTTCCTTAAAAAAAAGATGTTTAGTCTGATGTGCAGTAATAACAGGCATTTGGCTTGTTCAGCTGTGTGCTCTGTTGAAGTTATGTACTTACCCATGTTATACTTTCACACAATGATAACAAAGTCAGAGTAATAGGGCTAGCGCTGAAATCTGAAGGGCTGCCCATCAAGCAGGCACAAGGAAAAGAGGAATGTCCCGAGAAATTCAAGAAGGTTTCTTCTCTGATTTGGTAGGTTACTTCCCAAGCACACCAAGAAGCTCAAGGTCACGACACCTCAAGCAGGTGATGGAAGAGAAGAGGAGGAAGAGGTGCACCCACTCGTGCCTGGTGGAACTGCCCTCACCCAGGGGCTCACAGACAAGGGCTCCCAAGAACTTTCCTGCTTAAAGATTCACTGTTTAAAGTGCTTTTGGGCCTTTCTGTGGGGGTACACATACCAGGTACAACAGGTCTTTAATCTCTTCTGGTCACTCAGAACCTGAGCAGTTGAATTTTAGAAGACTTTTCATTTCATTATTTGGTAAAGCAAGAGACACAGAAGCAAACAAGAAATCAAACAAAATTATTTTTCCTGATATCCAACCATTTTACACTCCATAAAATCACTGCCGAGATAAATGTCCCTGTGTAAACCACAAGGAGAAAAAAATTAAGCCAACCAAGGATGCTGTAAGTTATCTCACTGACACAGGCATTACCTGGGAAAAGTAATACGTTTGCACCTCCTTTAGCACATAACCTTGTTCATCTAGAGGAAAGTGTTTCTACCTCCACAGGGGGGTTGCCACCAAAAATCTAGAGGATTAGATTTCAGTAGATAGAATCAGGAAGAAACAAGGTTTCTATGCAGATAATCCTGGCCTCTCCTGTATCTGCTAGCAGCACTTTTGGGAGGACTGCTCCACCTCCAGCGATGGTGAGGTGTCACTCCTTCCCTTCCCAAATTTGATACCACAGCAATCTCAATGCCCAGCTCCCAAAGTTCAGTTCCACGTCGCTTTTAGTACTTACCTGGAGGCAACAATCTGTCCCATGGACATTAATATTTCAGTGTTAAAACAACAAAAGCTTTGACATGCAACAAACTGCAGAGTTTCAAAGCAATACAATGTTTAGTTAGCACAGAGATGGCATCTATTTCAGTTCAACCTAACTACAAAGTTTCCTGCAATGATGACTAGCATGCAAAACTTACACAAGATATTCTGTGTTATCTCAAACAGCTCTTTTTTGGCTAAGAAAGATGGAAATGGAAACCGTCAATGACTCTCTGTCCATACTCACAACCAGGCTTTCTAACAAACAAAAATAAAATTCGTATACAAAAAAGAACAAATAACATCACAGTCTTCTTTCTGTCTTTTTAAATGAATGTCAACTTATCCAACAAAAGGATCGGTTGCATTTTCATTCAATGCCTTTAGCAAACTTCCCTTCCACTTATACAGTCAGAGAATATAAAGCTATTTAGTGTATGTATGTTCCTGGAGTTTCTGAATTAGTTCAGGAGTCATTGGATTTAATAAGACTTGTTCTTCAGCCAGCATCAAAAATTTTAAGCAAATATAGTGGAGCTCAGTGATAACCAGGAAGCTTTTGGCTAGACACACCTGATAAACCAGCATAGCGCCAATAATTTCAATCAGGTCACAGAGCCTTGTTTATTAAACACTGACCCCACCTACATAACAACATATAACATGACTTTACCTCTCACTTACAAATTGATATTTCAGAACTCAGTACCAATTTGACACAAGTTCGTACTTCCCAAGTCATGTTTTGCTTCATTTCTAGGATGTTGTATTGGTACAAGACCAACAGCCCCTCAGTTTTAGTGCCTACCTCTAAAAACTGTTTATGGAAGACATGCTTACTGTGTGTTAAATATTACTGATATACTGACCCCACACTGGGTATAAGCTATCTCTGGAAACAAAGTAGATCATTCTAATGGTCTGAAAGCATACAGCCCATTATTTTGTGTGACTAATTACTAATAATGAATGGATTCAAATACAACACATTTAAAGTTAGTATATAACATACTGGAAAAAAAGAGAAAGACTGACTTCTAGGCACCTTAATAAAAAGAGGAAAAAAAAAAACCTACCGCACACTAACACTGCACCTGGCTTATTATGGGGCAATTGCTGCTGCAATTCTTTGAACCTACTGATGACAGAAACAATTTTTAAAAAAAAAAAAAAAAGTCAAATAAGCAAAAATGCAAAAAACAAGAAGGAAGACATGAAGACAAATGTCTATGAGAAAAGTCTGTCTCTTTTCCTCATATATCATTAATTTTTCATTATGAAATCTAAGAATAAAACATCTTAAACTTTAAGGTATTTAGATTTCCCCAGGGTTTAGGTGGGTAATGAAACAACTATTTTTCAATGTCTCCCTGCTGAGAGTAGATGATCTATGATGCTTCCAAACTAAGGATTGCAAAATACCAAACAAATCCACCAAATGAACACAAAAAGAAAAATCATATACAGGAGCACCAGGTTGCCAGGCCATTATAGTCAGGCACATTCGCTGCACTCTTTCAGAACACGTGCACCTTTTTACTCTTTTGTTACTACAGAGGGTCGTCATATACAAAGCACAAAGAACACATCCCACAGAAGCAATCTTGGGCCTTTCTGGCACAAAATTCTGCATTTCAATTTACTTAGTTGGTTAACTGGAGGTCTAGGGGCCCCACTACTGGTGGTAGGAGAAGCCAGTCAGAGCATTTTGCCTGGGAAAGCAACCCACGGGAAGGGCAGCTATCTCCTAGAAGTTACCAAACATAAATGGAGCTACTCTACTCAGGGGACTCCCAATGACAGAACATACTCCTTAGAAACTGCCCTCGAGCAAAACTCTTGCCAAACAGAAAGTTCTAACAAAAGCCAGCACTTTCATGGGGTGAATGCGCCCACAGTACAGACGTCTTCAAGCGGTTTCACTGCCAGAGGACATGGCCAAGTGCAAGAGCAGCATTTTCTCACCCGTGCTTGCAAACACAGGATCCTGCAGGCGTAGCTGGCATGCAGGCACTTTACAAGCCCTACTCTTCAATGTGCTGTGTACTGTTCTTTCTAAACCTAGTCCACTATGGCATTTTCAAGTGTAAGAGGAAAATAAGTTCTATTTGGGAGAAGGTCTGTCCGATTTCTCACTGGTGCCTAAAGCCCCAACAACAACAACAAAAAAAGCCTAAATAAAATATTTTCAAGCAATTGCCACCCAATTATGATTTCCATAAAAATGGAAAGGATTTACCTATAAAAGAGGAAGCCTGCTTGAGACCCTTTAATCAAAATATATTTGCACCTAAAATGGCACAATTTACCCTGAAGAAGCCTATTTCAAAAGACAAATATCACTGTTTAACATACACACACACACATTTGCAGCATAGGGTTTTTTTCTACAATTACTTTGAAACCTGAAAAATCCTAGTGATATTATTCTTAACAATCCACTACTACAGCCCAAGGAATATACAATAGGAAAGGGAATAGGTGAGGAGAGAAGTGGTAAGATTAAGGCTAGCTTGACCTTACCCAGCACTCACTGAAGGCCGGCAAGCCACTAATGTGTGATTATTCAGACAAGAGTATGAAAAACCTATGTAAGAAACTAAAGGATGTAATTGCACATAATACCAAATGACCTCTGTGTATGAGAGGAGAAGGGCAGGGAGAGATGGTTACCTTTAG